AAGTTCTGGTGGACAGCCAGGAGCAATGGCGGTTGCCTCTATTGTTTTAGGGGCCTCTGAGACACCTCTAACCAACAATTTGAGGGGAGGTAGCCCATACCTGGCACTGAGCTTTAATTTGGTAACTTTTGGCTCCTGGGGTGAGAATAATCCCATGTAGAGGATTCCAATTAAACTATTTTATATGAATACATACTCATATATGCACATATATGTGAAACTTACAAAATATTAGGTATTCACATGGATTTTCAAATATCAGTTAGAATTATTTATTCCTTTCCCAGTCCCCTCCTCTACCCTTCTTTCCTATCCATCTCTGCATATAATCTTCCCTCCCTGAGAGGGTGAAAAGACTATATAGAAGTCATGGAGGATCAGAGCAAAATAGTCACTTCTGAATGTGACAGGACTGCTACATTCATAAACTCACCAAAGTTGGAATTGTCTGCATGATGGGCACAAGATCAAGCCAGTCAACATTCCAGCATGGAGGAGGGAGGAGTTCCTGAGTCTTCACCCCTAAATGAGGAACTATAGATAGTTGAAGGCTTCTTGGGGAGTGAGCGCTAGTTTCCTTTAAGAGTGTGGCTCCTGATAGGTTGCCACACTCCAGTGGATGACTACAGACCAAGAATTACATGACTAGCACAAATTGGAGTAGATGCATTAAAAATACATGAAGTTTAAGAGATATGGGTGTGGGGATAGTTTTGGGATAGAGGTAAGCAGAGGAGTTGAAGTTGATGAAGATAAAAATACAACTTATGAAATTCTCAGACTTAACAGAAATATTTTTAAATAAAAAAATAAAAAGAGTGTACTCTTGAAGCCACTTTAATTTACCAATTTACCCAAAGTCTACATGTCCTAGCACAAACTGGCTATAAAATTGAAGTTCAAATATTTTATTAAGTACATTAACAAATAAATATATTCATTAAATCACAAAGACTATAAGATTAATTAGGTGGGCAAATTAAGGGGTAAAGTACACTATTTTCATGTAGAAAATATTGAATACAGTTAAGAAATTCTAATCCTGAGTAAGTGAAACAGAATAATGGGGACTATGAAAACATAAAGTATGTTTTAGACCACCTGATATAAAATCTAGAAAATATATCCTGTACAATTTTCTGTTTTCTCATCACAGTTCCGCAGACATAAAGAAACCTTCTGGCAAGCCTTCCCTTCACTATACCAGTTTCAAACGGCTAATTACTTTTCATAATATAGACCCAAATTTATGCAACATTTCCCTTGGAAAATCTGAGCTGCGTGTACTTGTTTATACCTCCCTGTCCTCATATTGTTCCTAGGCTGGCACTTATCATGCTGAGGGGCAATTATTCTTACTCACCTGCTTTCTTTGAATCTAGTGAGTGCTTTGTGAACACAGGACAATGCCCGTTCTGTTCACTCTTAACTGCAAACACAGCATCTGCAGAATATTTAGTGCTTCACATATATTCCAAATGAGTGCATAAGGCACCAAGTAGCAAATGTCCTGCTGTGGAGGAGTATGAGGCTGCTGATTTTATTCACTCCTCACAGAATGGTTTTTTTACACTTTTATTATGTCTTTAAGCAATTATTATACAAAACATATCTTGCTTTTTTAAGGAGATTTTTACTTTCTCAATAGTTTACTGTTACAGCACTGACCTATTTGTGCTCTTGACCCATTTACCCAGTAAAAAGTTGTTTATTTTAACTATTCATCCTTTAATAAAACCTTAATAACCAATACATTTTATTAGATGTTTTAAAGAACTGGCCCTTGAAATAATATCCTGTTTCCAATATCTTTCATTAATTCCTTTCATTTTTTGCTTAAATTTTTCTCTATTTCGGGTTAGTTGAATATTGTTTGCTGTGTTTGACTTTGTTGTCCTATGTGGAGGGTGCAAAACTTTTTTAATTGAGGTTTTACAGCCAGGCCCACTTCTGTCTACTCTATGCTCCTTGACTGCTGAGACAATGTGACCAGCCACCTTATGCTCCTGCCACCATGCCTTCTCCACCATGATAAGCTGTATTCCCTCAGACTGAAGCCAGAACCCTTCCTTTTCAGAGTTGTCAGGCATTTGAAAAAAAAAAAAAAAAAAAAAAAAAAAAAACAAACCAAAAAACCTCAGGTAAATAATGAATAAATCAGATAGGATGTTTACATTCAAGTATCTACTAATCCAGTAAGAAAGTGACAAAGTGCACTTTTTATAAAGAGCATGTGTATTCTTAGTGAGAAGTTTAGAACATGGCTCTTCTAAATAGCCTGCAGAAAGGAGTAACTGAGTTGGTCAGGCAGCACTCAGGTAGTGAGTGATTGCTGTGGGAAGTTAAGACTTAACTCTATCAGTTCATTTAAAATATTTGTATTTATTTATTTATTTTGGTCTTTTTTTTGAGACAGGGTCTCCCTGTAGCCCCAGCTGTCCTGGAACTCACTGTAGACCAGGCTGGCCTTGAACTCACAAAGATCCACCTGCCTCTGCCTCCCGAGTGCCAAAATTTATTTTTTACACTTTACTGGCCTCCTATTTTCAAACACCTTAGGCTAAGTTTTATCTAAAAATGATCAATGGGCAGGCAAGATGGCTCAGCAGGTAAAGGCTCCTGCCATCAAGCCTGACAGTCTGAATTTGATCCCTGGGACCTGTGTAACGGAGGGAGAAGCTTGCACAGGCATGCACCCACATATGTAAATAAATATAAATGTAATAAAAAATGGGGCTGGAGAGATAGCTCAGTGGTTAAGAACACTGGTTGTTCTTGCAGAAGACCAACACCCACATGGCATTATTTTGGTCTTTTTTTTGAGACAGGGTCTCCCTGTAGCCCCAGCTGTCCTGGAACTCACTATGTGGACCAGGCTGGCCTTGAACTCACAGAGATCTGCCTGCCTCTGCCTCCTGAGTGCTGGGATTAAAGGCATGCGCCACCATGCCTGGATTTTCCTGTTTAATTGTAATATTGTTCAAAGTGATTTATTTCCTCTGAGGAAAGCTTGAACTAGATAAAAAATTATATCACACCTCTAAAGACTCTTTATTCCTTCCATGACTTAAAAAAATGAAGTTAATTAATGTGAAATATGTATATGAATACCAGTTACTGTTAGCAGGTAAAGTCACACAGATAAAGAACCAGGAAAGCCTCCACTTGCTACAGTATTTCAAGCATCTGTGCTCTCAGCACTAACACTGAGCATCCACTCTTCCCTCGCTGATCTGTCTTAGCACCTTCAGGACAAATCTTTCACTGAATACTTTTCTAACTGTCTGATTTTTAAATTTATTACTCAATATGACAATCTAAAATTTATTGAGTGTTCCCCCCGCCCTGTGCCCCTAAGCTGTTGTGTCTACAGAACAAGGTGTCATGAATTAAACAGTTCCCATCTGAAAAGCCTCTTCTATGTCTGGCTGTCTCCAAGACAACACAGTTTGGGAACAGCCCTGTCCATGTGCCTCTCTGGGTCTGGCACCTTGTTTCTCACAATCCTGTCTCTCTTCTGAGGTTGGTCTTCCTGTGCCATTGCTAGGGTGCCAGTGTCACTGATCAGCTTTGCAGAGGGTGGTCTCCTTGCCATTTACAGCAAAGAAACCCCAAAATTTCTAAACAGGTGTGACACTCCCATGAGCCAGGTTGCTGACACAAGAGGCACTGCTAAAATGCCTCTATTCTTACTCCCATGAAAGACTATGGGCAACTAAACTAAATGGATTCCATCTCAGTACACAGGACTTCCTAAAATTTGCTTCTCTCTATTATTGGGTAGAAAATGGCACTGTGTTGGGAGTTCTGGGTCCCAACATACCGATTTTAGCTCCCTCACATAAATATGACTCTCAACTTCCTATATGATGTGACAAATATGCCCACCTTCCCCCAAAAAAGGGTTCTAAATGTGGCTAAATGGCTTTTCTCACTTAGAATTTAAAATATTTCTGATCTTATTAAGCCTTTTCTTCTTTCTCCCGTTTGAGAGTTTGTGAAATGAGATTTTTGCACGTAACCACAACTCACCTTGACCCTCATCTCATTTGACCCTTTCAGGGTCACCTTCTGCCCACTGCAACTAAAGGACTGTTGGCTCACTTACCAACTTCAACCCCTCCTTCATCTCATAGGTGACATAGCTCTGGCACTGTTGTCAGAAAAGGCTCCCTCATCTCCAACACTCAGGAAATATTATGTTTCAAATCTTGGCTTCACCAATAAGCAGGATATGGACTTGGTTAGGTCAACAAATCCTTCTGAAACTAAGCTGCCTTATTTGTACATTCAGAAACATATTTTCCTCTAAATGACTTTTGGAATTAATTAGAAAAATCAAATATTTAGTGTATGAAGCAGGGAAGCACGGGAGCTCATATGAGTGGTGGCAATGGGACATTAAGTAACAGATGTCAGCATGGAACTGAAAGTAAATAAAGACAAGGAGAGAGGGAGGAAACTGTGAGCATGTGGAGGATGTGGGCTCCAACTTCATTCTATTTGAGTTAAATCCAAATTCCTTGTTAAGCTTTATGATTTGATGGGAAGATCTTTACCAATACCTTCTTTCCAGATTTCCTCTGGGGTGCTGCTGTGAGAATTAAATAAAGGCAAAATTGCATATAATGGACTTAGTGATAATACTTCATTCTAAGTGCCCAATGGAGATTCCTGCTTTGATAACATGTATATAAGTGAGGGGAAGGCATTTGGTAGTACCTTATTATTTCCATGTGTTGTAATCAGGGCAGGTTTTTATTTTTATGGCTTATGTGTGTCAAAGTTTTTGAAATGGACACATGTTACATTAAACACTGAAAGCTATAAAATTCTAATGAGTTGTGATTTTTCACCTTGTTAGATGAAAGCTACAATATTTGTACATTTTGTACACGGGGGGAGGGGGGGCTCCACCTCATTCCCAACCATTCCCTTTGTCAACAAGATAGAGTTAACAAACTAAACCTCCCCTCACAAATGAATGGATCACAAGAATCTTTGATGCTTACTTTATATTTTATTTATTGGGGGGGTGCTGGTTATACACATTTAGTAGAGTGTGCCAAGTGCCCACAGTGAAACCATTCCAGTTCAGACCAGTCCATTTCACATGGATGTTTCCAGTTGCCGGTTGAGGTCATATGGAGAAAGGCCTTGACTTTTCTTATGGTCAGGCCTGTGTTGCTGGTGAGTCCTCCAAATCTCCCGAGTCTTCTTTGCCAGTACAGGTCATCAGTCCCATACAAAAGAGAAAGATGCACAATTTCTCAATGTATTTCACAAGTTTAGCACATCTCTTGAACAAAAATTCAAGGAAGGTAGCACAAAAGCAAAGCACCAACTTGCATACTTGTAAGCAAACATGCAGAAACCTAAACACTACTCCACAGTACCCAAATGAATACAACATTGCATTAAAAGGTATAAAAGCACTGCACTGAAAACTTAAAAGTTACATGTGATATACTGCACTGTAAATCCTCAATGCTCTAATGACCAGCCCCACCCTTACACAGCCCAGGTACGGGTCAGAAACCATTAATCTGCCACAGGACCGTTCTAGTCGTCAGAGACACTGCTGCGGGGGCAGTGGGCAGCAGGATTAGCCTCCCGCAGAGCTCTGGCCTCCTCCAGAGCCTCTCTGTATCTGGAGGGCCAAGCCTGGGGGTCTTTCCTAAAGACCCTAGCCAGGAACTCCATAATTTGCATTTTGGTGATTTCTCGTCTGGCTCGGGACCCCCAGAAGAACTCGTACTCCGGAGGTTCAACGTGGGGGACACGCTGGTACTTCAGGTAATTCTGCTGGACGAACTCCTCTGTGATGAGCTTCCTCACATCCCCAAAGGTGGAGTGCTTCTTCCAGGGCCTCAGCCCCAGGATGCGCAGCACATTCCAGACGGCACTCTCTCTGGCACCACGGCCCTTCACATAGATGAGGCTCAGGATCATAAGCAGGAGGCCTGTCATGGGCATGCGGTTGTTCAGCGCCACCCTGTCCAGATCCTCGGGGCTGAGGGCTTTGACCAGGGCAAACTCCATAGTGTGGAGGTTGGTCAGCCTCAGGTGCAGCCCAAAAACTCTGGCAAGGATGAGACTGGTGCGCCTGAGGATGCTTCTGCACCATTTCTTGTAGCTGCCCATGACATCTTTCACCATATCTGGAAACCAGAGGATCATTCTCTTCTGGTCCTTGACCAGCACGTACCACATGAGCTCATGCGCCTTCTGGACCAGCTGGGCTGGGGCTGGTGGTGCTGGGAGCGGCTGGGGTGGACTCTGGGGCTGGTGGGCGCGGCCCTCCTCAGCGGCTTGCTGCAGGATCTTAGGGTCGATGTCTTCGAACCGTTCTTCAGGAGGCGGCGCGGCCTGCGGGGATGCCGTCGGGCCTACGGGAGCAGTGGACGGCCCGCCGAGGGTCGCGGCAGGGGACTCAGGAGGAGGAGGGACTCCTGCAGGAACCCCAGGGCTGTCATGCATCTGGGAGTTCAGGGCCTCGGCTGCAAGGTTAGGGTCGCTCAAGTCCTTACTTTGTTCGGACATGTCTCCGTCGTCTGACAAGGACAGGACGGCCGCGACTGGAGCTCTCTGAGCCTGTGCTCTCTCGGTGTACTCCTGGAGAGGAAGTGTGCGTTGCTGAGAGCAGTGCCTTCCGCAGCAGCGGGCGGGGCAGGCTGACATTGCGCATGTGCGCCCTGGCAGCCTGCGAAGGGGCGGTAGCGCTGAACTGGAGTACCGAAGGGGAGCCCAGCGCTAGGGTCTGTTAGCGGATGCCACTGAAGTAATGAGAAGGATCTGCAGGTTTCCTGTATGAGCTCAGGAAGAAGACGGCAGGCGGGAGATGGGTGGCAGTGGAAATGGAGCAAGTTTGAGGAAGAAGATGAGAACTTAAGTTTCAGAGAGGATAAAGTCTAGTTAGAACTCACCTGGGTATATTCAAAACCATGCTACATAGAGACAGGTGTTGGGTGATTCATGAATTTGGGTTTCTAAACAAGATTGAGAGAAGCAGTAAGAATACAAATTGTAGTTGCTGAAATCACATATCAATCCATGTGAAATTTGAACCTTTTGGAACTAATAGATATAACATCATTCATTCATCTTAAAAAATGGAATTGGGAGATGGCTCAGTAGGTAAGAGTGCTTGCTGGGCAAGAATGAGGAACTGAGTTCAAATCCCTAGGAATCACATAAAAAGCCTGGGTGTCCAGGCCTGTGTTTGCAGCCCCAGTTGTGAAGGGTGGAGACAGGAGGATCACTGGGGCTTGCTGGAAGCTAGTCCAACTCTAGGATCAGGGAAAGACTGTCTTAAGGGAAACGAAGAACTGATAGAATGAGACACAGGAAATCCTTCTCTGACTTTTGCACACACTTGCATACATCACACACACATATACTGTACACCCTAAAGCACATTTAATTGACACAAAATTGTTCATATTATGAGAAACAGTGTGCCTCAATGTGTGGGCATAATGTTTAATGATAAAATCTGAATAATCAGTATGTTCATCACTTTAAACATTTGCCAGTTATTTTCTTAGAAAAATTAAAATTTCTTTCTTCTTGCAGTTAGAAATATAGATCAAGCTATATTTAATCACTCGACTTTGTTACAGCACATTAGAACATATTCCTCCTAACTATATCAGAAACTAATCTTTCTCTATTGTTCCTCCTCAGTACCTTTCGTAGCCTTTGGTAATAAATGTTCTGCTCCCTACTTCTATTGCATCAACTTATTCCATTTCCACAGATGTACAATAACCACAAGCAGTAGTCTATGTATAGCTTTTTTGACTTAACACAGTCAAAGCACAGTCCCCAACCTCATCCATGTTGCTACAAATAAAAAATACTATTTTATTTTATGAGTTTAAGAGGTCGAATAAGACATGGAGTCATGTTTTCATATGTATATTCAATATTATATATTTATTGCTTTCTTTATGCATTCATCCATCTATAAACATTTAGGTTACTGATTTGCTGGTGTTCTATTATCTCTAGATTTTGGCTTTCCAATTCTCTTGGGTCACACTGATTTCATTTTAATCTGACCTTAGATTCTACAGGAAAATGATCGCCACACTTATTAGCATAGTTTTATGGTAATATCCTTTTCCATTTTCCATGTTTATCCTGGACCCTCCTTCCCCATATTATTGCTGCTATGTCCTCTTTTTTAAAAAATGTTTATTGTTATTATTTTTTATATGTATGAGTGTTATGCCTACATGTAAGTAAGTACACCTGTGTCGTGCAATGCCTGCAGAGGACAGAAGAGGTTGTTGGATTCCCTGGAACTGGAGTTACAGACAGTTTTTAGCTGCCATGTGGGTGCTGGGATTCGAACCTGGTGCTACTACAAGAACAGCCAGTGTTTTTAACCACTGAGCCAACTCTACAGCCCCGCTATGCCCTCTTTGTATTCATGTGATCATCTACTTCTCACAGTATAGTGTCAGGAAAAGACTAGTTCCTTGCTGAGAACACACTCAAATCATTTCCAGCATTGCTTCAATAGGGGTCTCACAGATAAGATATAACACTCTCTTATAAAAGAAATGCAGTAATATTGTGGCTATGTCTTGTGAGTATAGGAAAAATAGATTGATATGAGTGAATCTGAAGTTGGTGACTTTACAACCAATCAGTGATGCAATGGCCATTGATGGAGACTTCAGACTCAGAGATACTGAAACTGATGAGAGAATCCCTGCTCTGGATTTATGGGGTTCTTCAGTCATTCTTTGGTTTCCTCAAGTACACAAGGTCTTAAATACTCTGTCTTGAATCTTACTATTGTCACTTGAAACAGAAAACATATTTCTTGGCATTTACAAATTCCTCAGTTTCTTTGCTTAAACAGGTTCAATATCTCCTATCTAGAAGAGTTGAGGCAAGAGGCAATTCAGGCACTTTTGCATTTCAGAATATTTATATACATGGTGATATTTTATGAAATCAAGTCTAAGCATTACAATGCATAGATTGAAGAAAATACTATATGATATTTTAGTACAACTATATCTCGACTGAAATCAGCTTCCATGAACTTGATATGATATTTTTCACATGTGGGTTTATCTGTGTGTGTGCTGGAAATGTTTCAGAGGATATAGTGTCTGTAATTTCAGATGTAGGAGTTAGGGATGATTAAATTATTTCATCTTCATTTCTTAAGTTTTCCTCAAGTGTGTTGATATGGAAGGGTTTGCTAGGTCAGTTCATTATTTGTATACATGCGGTGACTTCCCCATACCAGTCCCTCCAACAGGACTTTGCAATATTCCACATTACCAGGATAATTTCTACATTTCACCCCAAGTTTTCTCTGGTTGCATTTATTTTCATTTCTTTGTTTTTCCTGCTTAAACCCTCCCTCCTTTCTATTCTGTTGTCTTTTCTCTCTCCGTTTCCATTCACCCTTCTATGATGTGCTTCCTTCCATCTGCTACTTTCTTTGAGCACATTTTTCCCGTAGGGCTCCAATTATATTACTTTCTAATGTCTCTTTTTTTTCAATTTTTAAACTCAATAACAACTTCATTATTTACTGATTGGAAGAATATGGAGGTTTGCTTATATTTTCAATTTTTGTGAACATTTCATTTTCAAGATAAATCTTATTCATGCTACTTCCCTGAGTGTTTACTATAAAACTGAATTATTGAATTCAAATAGGGATTTTTCCACTTTGGTTTCACCTTGGGTACGGACATTTTTCAGTCATGACTAGAAGCAGATATAGAATTGTTCTAAAAGTAGCCTGGACAGAAGGGACAAAGGGAATAAACATGAAGGGCCTACTGAAAGTTCTCCCAACTCCAACATATCCTGTTCTTCTGGAACATTTCAGTATCTAAGGACCTATTGGCAGCTGACCACTGCTGGATGAAGGAGGGTTGATCTTGAACAAGTTTACTGTTGTAATGCTTCTTTTTAGTAAGATTTTTATTATTTTTTATTTTTGAATGTATGTATTTCCTCTGTGTGTGTGTGTGTGTGTGTGTGTGTGTGTGTGTGTGCAGATCTTGAAAGCAAGAGCTTTCAGATCCCCCATGGAGCTGGAGTAACAGTCAGTGATGAGCCATCCAATTTGGGTGTTGGGTCTTCTGCCAGAGCAGTATACACTCTTAACTATAGATCCACCTCATCATGCAATTCATGCTTCTTAGATATATTCCTTCTTTAATTTTTCATTATAATTTTTTTCTTTTTAATGTATATTTTGTTGAGTTTTTGTGCATTTCATATAATATTTCAGTCAAAATTAAACCCACTCACCCATCCACAGCTCTTGTAGTTCCTCCCCCGACACACCAGAGTTCATGCTTTCTGTTGTATATGTTAAGTCCTATCTGGTCAAACATTTGTACCTAGGTGTCCCTTGGTGCGAGTTAATCCACTGGAGTCTAGTCAGCCTATTTAGAGTCACTCCCCTAAAGAAGATCTACTATCTTTCACCCAGCAGTAATCAGTTGTCAATAGTTCCTCCCCTAAGATTGGGGCCTGCTATCTATTTCCCAATTTCTACTTTGGGATTTTGTCTGATTGAGTTAGCATGTGTCTTGGGCGTGCTGTCACCATTGTGACAAGTTCAAATGAGCACGTTCCCAGTGGCCTGAAAGCCTCTGTCTCCTTATGTTTATGCACCAACTCTGCCTCTTAAAATCTTTCTGCCCATCTTCTGCGATGCTCCCTGAATTGTGAGTGGGTTAGGTTTAATATGGGTCCTATCCAGGGACATGCACTATATAGTCTCTTGTTCTCTGAAACTTAGCCAATCGTGGCCTTCTGTGTGCATCACACTCTGTTGCATGAGGAAGCTTCACTGGTGAGAGCTGAGGGATGAATTAGTATTGTCTCTAACCCCTGTTCTGCTATGTTCCACGAACCATAGCTATAGATGTTGCACTACAGATGTATCACTTAGAGCTGGACATCTTCCAGATATATATTCTGTGTGTGACCAGTTGTGGAACTCTGTAATAGCCTCCAAAAGTTTCAAAAAGAAGCTTCTTTGAAGAGTGGTGTATGGTATACATGTCTATGAATGTAAGGATCTATATTTAACATACAGA